CAGCAGAAAGAACATACAAAATTTATTACATACCTAAGTACTAGGAGTATTACCAAATGTTCGTGTATTTTTGAGCAAATTTGGGGCCAATCTGAATAGGAGAAAGGTTGAGCATCCCCTCAACTGAAACATTTGGATTTGTCTACTGATCTCTTCCTTGAAAACTCTTCATACAAAATAAAACTTTTTGATGTTATACAAACTTGGATCTAACATAATTTAAATGATGTTGCCAAAATGGATTTTCCAATGAGAAAACTCAGCTGCAAATTGGAAGTCTCCAAGGAACTCTGTCTCCAGTCCCTGTTTTAGGTGTTCACATTTCAGGCCTCCTCCTATCAAATCTTACCATCTTGTGTCTAATTCTCCCAAGGCTTGCCAGCTTCCTGGTTCACTTGTCTCAAATAATTTGTATTCAATTAAGAATTAAATACTGATAATGCAAAGGACATACAATTATGTGAAGAGGAAATCTAAGGAAAAGATGTTCAACTGTAAATGAAAGAATACAAATGTGTAGTTTTTCAAGTAACAAACAAAAGAAAAAAAGAATGCAAATTATAGAATCTGAGAGACTTTAATGAAATGTAAGGGCTCATGAACATTTTAAAAGACTCTAAAATGATGTGTATATTTATGGACATGAAAGAATGCTCACTAATTTCTATGCCCTATGGCCCTTGTGATGCCATTAATGAAAGTTAGTTAATGTAAAGATTTTAGAATGGTGGTCAGAAATATCATCCATGATGTCATCTGGTTGGAAACACTTTGAATGATTTTACTTTCTTCTTTTTTATTGTTTTTGAAATCACAATTCTGTATTTTTAACTTATTAACTAATACTATCAGAGTGTATTTTATGTGCTGGCACTTCACTGATTGCTGTACATGATTATTCCTGAAGAAAACAAAGGTGATAAGAGATTAAGGAATTCACCCAAGGTCCACTCTAGGAATTGATGGAGCTGGGATTAAAACCTGGTAGTGGTGCTCCACAGACTGGCCTCTTACTACACTAATTGCCAGATAGAATCAAATTAACTTAAATCCTGCCCCCTCAAAGGCCTACTCCCTTGCTCAAAAGTAACTACGGGTAATAGATCCTTCAAAAATTTTTTTGTTAGGCATTTTCAGACGTGTGTGTGTGTGTGTGTGTGTGTGTGTGTGTGTGTGTGTGTGTGTGTTTCTTTTTCATAAAATGGGGTGGATATGTCCCATCTATCAGTATGTATAATTCACTCTCATGATTTTTATTTACCTCTGGAAGGCATTCTGCAGTATGGATGTGTTGAATTGATGGAACCATGCTTCTGCTGAAAAACTGGTGTGTGTGTGTGTGTGTGTGTGTGTGTGTGTGTGTGTAGAGCTAATGTTTGGTATATGCCTAACACAATGCAAATAGTTGAAGTTCTGGTGGGCAGAGAGGTTTTTTCCAGTATTTTCTTCCTAACAGATAAAGTTGTGCATATTACTGGGCATAGATGTGCAATTGAAGTCCTGTGATAATCTCCTGGAATCAGAACCGATGGGTCAAAAGGCATGCACACAAAGTGGAAAGAAGATTCCCACATCAAGAAGACCATGCCAGGGGCTGGGGATGTACCCCAGTTAGTGTGAGGTGCTGAACACGATCCCCAGCACAATAAAATAAAATAAAATAAAATAAAAAGGCTGTGCCATTACCCCTGCAGCACATGAGTGGCCCTGTCCTCATATGTTCACCAACATAAGAAGTTGTCCAGGGCTGGGGATGTGGCTCAAGCGGTAGCGCATTCACCTGGCATGCGTGCGGCCCGGGTTCGACCCTCAGCACCACATACAAACAAAGATGTTGTGTCCGCCAAGAACTGAAAAATAAATATTAAAAAAAACTCTCTCTGTTTTACTTCTTATGAGAAATGAAAGAATGTTAGTTCATTTGTAATAATGTAGAAGCTCTTGATTACTAGTGAAGTTGAGCATCTTTTCATTTGTTTCTTGGTCACCTTCTTTTATTGAATAATTTGTGTTTTTCTTATTAATTTGAAGGATCTCTATTATAGATATTGTCTTTTTTTTTTTTTGATACTGGAGATTGAACTCAGGGGCGCTCAACCACTGAGCTACATCCCAGGCCTATTTTGTATTTTTATGAGAGACAGGGTTGCTTAGTGCCTCACAGTTGCTGAGGCTTGGCTTTGGACTCACAACCCTCCTGTCTCAGCATCCTGAGCTGCTGGGATTACAGGCATGAGCCACCATGCTCTACTAGATATTGTCTTTTTTTAATATTTATTTTTTAGTTTTAGGTGGATACTATATCTTTATTTTATTTTTATGTGGTGTTGAGGATCAAACCCAGTGTCTCATGCATGCTAGGCGAGCACTCTACCACTGAGCCACAATCCCATCCTCTAGGTATTGTCTTTTGATGTTCTGTTTGACACAAATGTTTTCCCCAGGGCATTATTTTTCTTCAAACTTGCTTATTTTTTTATACTGAAGTTTGGTTGTATTTATTTTATTTTTATGTAATCAAATCTATCAATATTTTTCCTTTTTGGTTTTATATCTTGTTTAGAATGTCTTTTCCACAATATCTACCAAGAATATAATGCTCTCCTAACCCTCTCTTCTTGTACATCTACGTTTTTGCTTATAGATTTATTTCTATATTTTAATATTAATGAAGAATTTTATTTTGTTCAGTGAAAAGGAGAGATTTATTATTTTTTTTATTTCCAGGCTGGTCAACTTTTAAACAACTCCTTCATCTAAACCCAAGTTCTGTTTCTAGACTGTTCCTTTCGTCCCTTTTTCTATATTTGGCCTAGGATCACATTGTTTAGTTACTTATGCTTTTCACCAGCAAGTTTTTGTATCTGCTAAGGTATGTCCCATCCCCATTTCTTGTCTTTTTAAAACTTTCCCCAACCCTCCCCAGGCATTTACTTTTTCTGAGTAACTTCAGAACTAGATAGTTAAGGTCCAAAAATACTCCTTTGAGATTTCAGTTGGGGCAGATAGAATCTTCTGCTAATTGGAGTCTGTAGCCTGGACACCTGGATCCCTTGGCAGTTCTCTAGGCTGTCCAGAGCTGCCCTCTGATGGGGAAGGACAGGATGTGATGCTGCCTCTACCTGCTCTCCAGGGTCTTCCCACTCCACCATCTCCATGAAACTTGTGATTTCCAGTCTTCATGGAAGCACGCATTCCTGGTTAAAGTTATTTCCTTCTCCAAGTGACATTTGGACTTTTTTTTTTTATTGTTGGTCGTTCAAAACATTACATCTAATTTGATATATTTCACAGTTTGATTCAAAAGGGTTATGAACTCCCATTTTTACCCCGTATACAGATTG